TCATATGGTATTTGTCTTTAACCACATGACTTATTTTGCTTAGCATAATGCTCTCCAGCTCAATCCAGGCTTTCACAAAGGGTAGGAGGTCCTTCTTTCTTTCTGCTACATAGTATTCCATTATGTAAATGTACCACAGTTTTTTGGTTGCACTCATATATTGATGGGCATTTAGGTTGCTTCTCATACTTGACTATTGTAAATTGTGCTGTGATGAACATTGGGGTGCACAGGTTCTTTTGAATTGGTGTTTTGGGATTCTTAGGGTATAATCCCAGCACTGGAATTGCTGGGTCAAAAGGCAGTTCCATTTTGAGGTTTTTGAGGAAATTCTATACTGTTTTCCACAGTGGCTGCACAAGTCTGCATTCCCACCAACAGTGCACTAGGGTTCCCTTTCCTCTACCCACACCAGCACTTGTTGTTTATTGATTTGTTTATTATGGCCATTCTGACTAATATACAGTGGCCCTTGGGATGCCTTTTATGCTATTTGTGTTGGCTCTCTGAAAGTAATTGGGTTTTGATTGTTGCTTGGTCATTCTTCGGTGGATATTTTCCTCCAGCTGGTTGACTGAGGGTCACTTTGCTTACCATGTCTTGTGTGTGTTTGTCCAGGTACTGCCAGAACAAAACCACAAAGCCCAGGAACAAACCCACATCCACAAAAATAACTACCCCCTGCAATCCCACTATCAACAGCAAATGATCCAGTATTAATACAGCTCTAAAGAGATTAAGACTATTATAAGAAAGGAGAGAAATAAACTATTAGTATAAAATCTAATGACTTAGTATACACAAACTTGATGGACCTGAAATGAACATTAAAAAGCTATGTAGTAAAGAAAATATCACAAATCATTGAGAATACCATGGTGGATTTCATCTCTAGTATTTACCACTGTTTTTTCTTTCTAGATACACCTCTGGTGATGTCAGTTGCTGACCCTGTCTGACCTTAGGCAGTCTGTTGGAGACTTCCAGGAATCTACTGTCTGCAGCTGCCTTCTTCAGTTGTTAATCTAGTCACTCTGCACTCAGCAGTCAGCATTAGGTACCACATGGCAGGGCAGAATCCCTCCTGGGACTGGGACTCTTGTGTCTTTTCACATGCTGCTGCTCAGGGGAATGGTCTGCCTGAGCAAGATCGCTGCTGCTGTATGGAGGAGGAGTCAGCACTGGGATCCCACTGGCTAGCCTCTCAATTATCTCCCCAAAGCCTTTGTCCCCAGTCTCTTCTCAGGCATCTCTAGCCCACTCTGCCCCTGCATTTGCCGGAGCCCAGGGTAAGTGACTGCAAATGAAAATGTATGCATTGGCCCTTTAAACTGTTCTTTGCATCTTCAGCCATGCATCTCTGGCAGAGAGAAACCCTGCTATTTTTCTCAGCTCACTGTTATCCGTGTACTTTTTTGGGCTCTGGTGCTATAGCATGGGGATCCCCACTTATGGTTTAGATCCCACTCTTCTCAGGGGGATCCAACTGGCTGCTTAAATATCCCTCAGGTGCTGTTGCCTTTGGGCACCCAGCCAGCCTCCTCAAGTTTCCACCGCACTCCCTACTAGTCAGGTTGTGCTAAAGCTGATTCTTTTGTCTGTTTGAGGTTATAAGGCTTCTCTCTCACTGTTGTTCACTTTTTTTGTTCCAGGTGATTTCTCCACAATTTATTTTGTAATTCCAGATTGGTCCTGAGACGAAGTCAGTGTGACTTCTATTCATTCCTCCACCATCTTGCCCCTCAGATAGCCTACTTTACTGAATACTTGACTTCTAATATATGATCCCTGTCAAGCCTCCAGGGCTTAAACAGAACTTTCCTGCAGAAGCCCTAATTTCAGTGTTGCATGTATGGCTGTGTCCAGGTGATCATAATCCTGAAAATTGGATTTTCAATTTTCAGTGCTCTGTTGAATGCAGCAAAGAGACACATTGGTCTCTGTTCAGCATCCTCCTGAGATTTCCACGGTCATGTAGGAGGGAGCTCTGGGAAAGGTGCTGTTTTGGGAAATCATATCGTACATGGATGGGTAACTATCAGTAAGGGGATACAGCATGCATTATTATCTTAATGATTTAACACACTCCCCCCCAACCATTGGTTTTCACTTGCCATGGCTGTCAAGTTAAAAATTTGCATCTGAACCTAGGACTTCTAGTAGTCCCACACCAAAATTACAAATACATATGGCACATTTTCCACAGCCATAATGGCTCCAGAATTGTTATAAGCTCACCCAATTCCTTGAAGTGACTAAGGAACAATCACTCTGAAATTTCTCACTTTTCTGTCTCAAAAAAAAAATCACAACTGCATAGGAATTACTGGACTTAGGATTTTTAATGATAGAACTGACTGTAAAAAAAAAAATGAAATTTCAGTTCCATATTTTATTTTTTTTCTTTACATATTTTGAATGTCTAAACTATAGTTCAGGGAAAGACCTAGAAATTGTTATAGCTTGCCACAGTCTCTCTGTGGACCCCTACACCACATGTTTTCAATGAACAGTAAATAAATACTGAATGATGATTGTGGATTATAGAGACACAAAATGCAGGTTCAACCACAGTAAAGAAGAAATCAGCAACAAATGGAAATGTGTGTGTGTGTTTGTTCAGAGTAGCCAAAATAACTAGAAATAAAGTGAGTCTTCAAGATTCAGTATGTGAACAGTAAACTATCAATGGAGATTTGGAACTGAGATATTAGAAATTCAAGAAGGAAAACCAATAATTTAAATAAACAGATTTTTCTTTATATTTAAAATCTGTATGAAAGAGAAAAGACCTTGCAACACAGAAAATATAAATATTGTCCTCATATATAATAGAGAAGAAAAAAGTCCAGTCTAGGCAGCAGGCTTGAGTTGTGAGGTAAATCCGTTTGAAAAAAGAAAGGTCTTAACAGGGGTGAATAAGAAGAGGACCTAGAGAGGGGAAAAGGTTGTCATGAATATAACTTGTAGTAAGTCGGGGCTACATTGGAGTAACAAAACTTACTCAGACCTTCTAGAACATGAGAGCTGAGGGAAGATAAATGTTGGGAAAGGAAGAAATGAGAGCTCACATCAACTCTCACCAAAAACCTGGAGGTCTAGTCTTTGGAACAGCATCAACATGCACTAAAACAAGTAGAAAGAAGATACTTTTAGGGCTAGTTTGAAAAAGTATTTTGTCTGTGGAGGTGTGCTTTGTTTAGTTAGGCTTTAATTTCTCTGGGAAAATTTATTTTTGCATCTATGGGAGCTCAAATTATTCTTAAAGTGACAAGAATTTCAGATATATTACAATGCTCTCATACAGTACCCATTGTCCAACTCTCCAATGAGCTTGTTTAAATGAGGAAGCTGCATCTAATTTGAAATGAGAAACAGAATCATGAATGAATTTCAGCCTGGTATACCTCATGGCCTTATAATTATGTGATGTCCTAAGGAGATCTATGTCAAGTTTCTAGGGCAACAAGACATCTTTGTAATTGTCTTAAGATTCTGAACTATCTAATTTCCCTTGCAAGTGGTGTGTAACAAAGAAGCAGGGATAAAGATGGTAGCTTGGGCTCTTTCTCTAAAGCAAGTAGCCACACCCACAGGATGACTATAGAATTGGTTCTGAGGCCCATTAACTTAAGACAAAGAAGAAAGAGAAGGGAAATAGTGTCCTTTAGAAGAAGCTCAAGGTTTCTCTCCATTGTCCTTTAGTTTCAAGACCCATTGAAAGTTATTACATTTTAGGATAACTTATTGGTTGTACTCGTGGATAGAGCAAAGTGTTGGTACAGTCTTGTTTCTAAAGTAAAACATTTGTTTTTAGCTTCTTCAATTACCACCTTTTTGGAAATAAATTGAGAAAGCCACATATATAATTTTGCTGAGCTCACACAAAAGTTGGGATTGGCATGATCAGACATACATTTTGGAAGTATATCTGGGTCTACAGTATGAAAAATGAATTGAATGGGATAAAGTAACTGACAGGGAGATAAATTAGTGGAGAAGAGAGGATGAGGCTCTGAACCAGAGATTTTACTATCCTTTGTGTGTGCACGTATTTTAAGGATTTGTTCTAAAGTTTCTTCAAGCTCTAAATTTGTCCCTATATTCACATATCAAATTAATGAAGCTCAGTGGAGCTGGCTGAACAAAATTTACATTACTCATGCTTTTATGGGCTTTAACCATGTACTTTGGGCTCCCCTGCTGTCCCACCCCAGACTAAAGGGCTGCTCTCTGCAGTTCAGTTTTCTATAAAAGCTTCTCCATTCTTTGGTCCTCTAGTCCCTGTAAATCTTTCTCTCTCTCTCTCACTCTCTTTCTCTCCATCCCTCCTTCCCTCCTTCCCAGCTTTTGACACCATCTAAAATATTTGTTTTACATATAGAAACATAGCATATTGTGAAGAAAGTTTTTTATGTTGTTTTTAATACCTTTTTATATACTGCTCAGAGATCAGCATACTGCTCTTTGGGGCTACTTACTATATTCTAGTCTTTCTTGGTCATCAGTAACATGATGTATGTCAGCATTTTCTAGATAAACCAAATCAATAAAATAATAGAGATATACATAAAAGGAAATTTGTTTCAAGAATTGGCTCATATACTTATGGATGTCAAAAATTCCCACCATCTGCCAACTGCAAACTGGAGAACCAGGAAAGTCAGTGGCATACCCATAATTCAGTCTAAGTACAAAGACTTGAGAACTGGAGAAGCCAATGTGCAAGGGTAGGAGAAGATGGATGTTCTGGCTCAAGCAGAGAAAGCAAATTTGTCCTTTCTTCACCTTTTCATTCTATTCAGACCCTCAACAGATTGGGTAATATTCACTCACATTGGTGAAGATAATCTTCACTCAGTCTACTGACTCAAATGCTAATCTCTTCTGGAGACATTTTCATAAACACACTCAGAAAAAAGTGTTTATCAGCAATGTGGGTGTGCCTTAGCCCAAACAAGTTAACAATTAAAATTAACCATCAGAATGAGAACAGGAGAGTGCTTGCTTTGGCAGCACAAGAACTAAAATTGGAATAATACAGAGAAGAGTAGCATGACCCCTGTGCAAGAATGACACACAAATTTGAAAATAGGGAAACAATTCATTTCCCTTCTCTGTATACACAGACCCACACATCCATCTTTTTGGGAAAGACTTGCCTTAGATTGGGTTGACTCAGGCATTGATTGCACACCCATCAAAAGTAGGAAGTTAAGAGCAGTAGTGACGATCATATTACAACATCTCACAATTCTGATATTTTAAAAATTGCAGTGTTTTACAATGAATTATGTTATTTGTTTGCCATAACAATCTTCTGTAATAACTTCACTGATGTGAAAACTGGGGCTCAGAGAAGTTGAGTTGTCTGCCTAATGTAACACAGCTGAATGTGGCAGATCTGGGATTCAGTCTAATGTCTTGTGGGTCCATTCCTGGTTTTTTCCCTTCCTGCCCTTGAAATAAATGTGTTAAGTATGAAGTCAACTGAGCATGTTTAGCATTTTGAAAGCTAGGGTATCATTCCCTTTGTCTCTCCTCCTTAGTTTTTCCTAAATAGTTTCATAAGCAAGCATTCCACTTTGAAAAATTTTCCAGTTTGCCAAAGCTTGTTACACTCCTCAGTATTCATACAACATTATGATTTTCCTGTGAAACTGAATAATCTCTGTACTTAGTGTGTAAACCCATGCTGAGTCAGAGAGAAAAAGGCATCTTTCAAAGTATCAGCATTGTTATAATTCTCTTAGGTCACAGCTATTTAAACCCTCACATCTATAAATTGGCTATTACATCATTATCTCCAGGGATTCTTTCACTTAAAACAATAAAACTTTAATCTTCATTTCTAGCATACAAATTGAGAAGGGAATGAGTAATTTCCATCATGCAATTGCTGCTACAAAATAAGCCAGTTCACCAGAAATAATACAACTGGTGTGTGGCATTTTGTTCATTGTGAAAAATATTTCTAGAAAATATAGTTGCTCACAACCCTTAGCTAGAAACAGTTGTAGCATTCTACAGACTGGATTCTCTGTGCCTGATCTTCTAGTGGTAGAAGTTACTAGGGATAGAACTTTTAGGGATAAAAATTCCTTTCATCCATCTAGTCCTACCCTCAAACTCCAACGAAGCAAAGTGGTTAGAAACATTTAAATTTATTTTTATTATTATTTTTGTTTATTTCTCCTTATTCACTAGGTTTTTAACTAAAGCATGAGTCATCTCTGGGGATTTGGATTCTACACGTACTCTTGATTTGAACACATCTGGGACTTGTCATATAGTGAAAAAACAAGTGTTCTTGTTTCTCAGATATACTGTTAGATAACAAAATGACATTAGCCGAGTCTGCTAGTTAAAGAAAAGTCTAGGTTATCCATGACTGAAAGCACATGACTGAATACAGCATTGTTTTTCTCAACCTAGATGCAAACTTATTTTCTTCCCTCCTTGTTCTTCTTGGAGTTTCTCTTGTAGATTCTTACTGCAGACATAGTCAGGCAGGTATGTTTGGAACTGAGAAGGGTAAGAGTGCATGAAATGTAAGCTAATTCCAGCAGGATGTTTGCTTTCTATGGCTCACTCAGACATTCATTTCTGACACCCCAAGGAAGTCTTTATTCATATCTCTCAACAAATTCTAGTAGATAACACAAAATGAGCCTTACCTGTTCTATGTCTCATAAAAGACCCACCTTTTCAGATCCTGATTTGACAAGGAATATTTGGAGATTTTAATAACCTAGATTATATTAGTTATATAACACATGAAAAAAATTACTAAGACCCACAGAAGATTATATCAATTCAAATTTACTACAGTTATTGTTTCTATTTAAAATAATATTTTAAATACTTTACATATTTCTGTAGCACCTTGGCTTGGATATCAGAAGGATATGTTGGGGAAGTAATAACTCACCACCTACAAAGTTAAAGTCCAAGACTTGGTTTGGCCAAAAATATCTTTTGACACCTTCAAGTTTGTCCATCAGAAGAGTAGAGAGAATTCCCTGGTTCTGAAATTAATAAAGACATTACTATTGAGAGTATCAGAAGTCCTTCCTCCATTAGTTTCTTATGCCCTTTGCACTGCTTATTAGAGGCTTGCTGCTCAGCTACAGGTTACTCATTATCGGTGAGGGAAATCAGGAAAAAGAGAAAGTCAAAAGAAGAGAAATGGGGACAAAGACCAAGGAAGAGAGTATATCAGGCAGGATAGGCTAGGTTATACTATGTTAATTTAAAAAAAAAACAAACACAAAACCTCAGTGTTTTACCATAAAAGTTCATTTCTTGCTCATATTACAGGACCTTCTTGGACAGGAAGGAGGCTCTAGTTGCATCATCACATCTTCACTCAGGGATGCAGACTGATGGAGTAGGAACCATTTGGAACAATGTTCTTCCTCATTAGCAAGAGGGAAGGAGAAAGTCGTAATGTATGCTCCTGCTATTAATGCTTCTATTGGGAAGTGGCAAGTGTCAGTCATGCTCACATCTTATTGACCAAGTAGTAGTCACAGTAGTAGTAGTGTGATCATGTGACTTCCCCAATGGGCAGGTAAGTATAATCCTACTTTCTGGCCAGAAGAGAAGAACCAAATATTTATTGAAATCCTAAACTCTAGTTAAAGAAGAAAGAGGCAGGGTCAATGAATATCCCTGGGCCTAAGCTGTGTGCATTGTGTCTGAGAGGGAAGCATGTGGGATAGGAAAGGGCAGTCTCTACCTTAAGTAGGGTACTTGTGCTTGTAGTAGGACATCTAAAAGACATCAGAAACAATTTCCCCAAGTTCTTATAGATAGAAAATAACAGAACTCGGCTTTTAGGATTTGTATGCCCATAACTACTGCCTCTCCCATGTACGAAACTGTCCCCTGAGTAATTAAAAACTTGATTTCTACCTCCAGGCACTTTCCATGAAGCTCGGTAAAAACCTAATACATGGCACACACAAAATTAGTGAAACTACCACATCAATATAAATGGAAGTTTAAGTGGCATGACAATAGGTCTAAGGAGTTCAGGCGAAAAGTGCTCAGAATAGCCAAGGATCAGCCTGGGAAGGCTTCCTGAAGGAGATAAGATTCAATCACCCTCAAGTGATAGATAGGATTTGTTTAAGGGAATAAAGGAGCAGAGAACTTTCAAAATGAGCAGAAGAACAGGAGAAAATGCAAAAGGGAAGGAGAGAGCCCTGCACCAGTGAGAAACCCTGAGGAGTTTGAACTGAGGAGGATGGAGACAACATGCCAGGACACCAGCTGGATGGGCTGACTGAGAGCAGATTACTCAGCAGGGGAGCCCACTGTGTGCAGCATGGGGAGAGATGGGAAGCTGTGAAGCATTCCCTGAGTGGAGGCATCAAAAGGCAAGGCAGGTGTGTAAAAAGGTTGAGAAACAGCAAGATGATTTGGAGGTAGGCTAGAGAGAGTTTCAAGGAAACTTCCACTCCCAGGAGACCATTGCAATGATCCTGATGATGGTCACATTTGGAGTTGATGTTAAAGATGCCAAAACTCATCAGATCAACAGTGTTTTCAGTCTTGATTTTAATTCATTGACATATTTTGGCTGCTCATTCTTAAAAAAGAGATATCTTGGCAGAGATATCAGGGTGCAGTAGCTGCTCACCAAACACTTGCATCAGGGAGGTGATGAAGTCACAGCCCCTAGGATGCTGAGCTCACAGTCTAACAAGCTTGAGGGCGACCTCTCTGAGATGACAAAACTGGACCACTCTGGACATGACATTATTTCTCTGAACATGAAAATAAACCTTGCCAAAAGTGAGGTTCCATTGTGTAATGGTTAGCATTCTGGACTCTGAAAATAAACCTTGCCTAAATGCAAAACTTCAGCTCCCTGCCATTAACTCCATCAACTAGCATAGCTTTGCTAGAGCCAAGATTCTCACATGCATTCTTGGGAAAACTTAGTAGCTTACTCAATGTTATTACTGTGATTAATAAGGGTTAACCTGACAATGCTGCATGAAAGGAATGGCAGCCACCTTTTAGAATACAGGAGCCAGGAACCCTGTACCACCTCCTGGTCAAACATCAATATATTAACCCACCACACAAACTCTCTCTCTCTCTCTCTCTCTCTCTCTCTCTCTCTCTCTCTCTCTCTCTCTCATATTCAGGCCCCCTGGGCACTCCGCCCACTAGGACAGAGCCTGTCTCCCTCCCTCCTCTCCTTTCCCAGGCCCTCTAGGCCAGCCCAGCTCAACCAATTGTCCTCTCACCAGGCTCCTGGAAGTTTAGTCACTGAAGCAGCCGGAGGGGACAGAGCGGTCAGGCCATTTCTGCAGACAAGCAGTGGTGAAGCTAGACTGGGACTCATTCAGGTCAATTTATACTCTGTTTCCTTCTGATTTTGTGGTGCTTTCACTCTCATGGCCCTGAAAAAGCATTTTTGTCAAAATACACATCATAGCATTAGGCCTGCAGAGGAGGCACTTAACGACATCCTCCCCTGTGAGGGCATGAACGAAGAGGGGTGTGACATAACTCCTGTTTATCCGCTGGCAACTGGTGCTCCCACTGTAAGGCATAAAAGATCTTGCTGTTTCCATTAGGAAGCTTTCTCTTCCTGAGGACTGTAATTAGCTAAATGCTCTTAAACTCCACTATGGAAACAGCTGGGTATATTTCCAGGTGATGGTTCAAAGCTTTACCCATAGGGATCTTTGCCTTTCTAGATGTTAATTGCAATCTGGGAAAAATAGGAAAAACAACTAGTGAATAACAAAGTTGGAGACTCAGGCAGGAAGCAATTTGTAGCAGGAGAACATGCTGGGGGAGGAGGAGAGTGGCTGTGAAGGACAGTCCTGACATGCGGCCAGTCCACCCAGGCAGAATGGGCACTGGAGAAAGTCAGCTGGCTGTAAGCTGATTCCAGATGGCAGAGGCCAGGGCCACATTAAGACTCGGAGGGAATAAAAGGTTATGGTCCACTCTTCCCCATAGACAAGTCAATACAAACACATACTATAATGCCTAGCTATATTGTAAGTGCTCAACACATTTTATCCCATTCGATGCCTGCCCACATGTAAAGGTATAATATCCCCAGTACAGAGAAGAGGAA